TGTGTTAAAATCATAATGGGAGGACTAAAAGTGTCAATTTGACAATACTCAGGGACTAAATGTGGGAAACTTTGAAGTCAGAGACTAAAAGTGTCTCTAGTACAATAGTCGAGGACTAAAAATGGAAAAATTAGAAGTCGAGTACCAAAAGTGTCATTGACATAATAGTCGAGTGACCAAAAATGACAAAAACTCTTTCTATTTACTATATACTATATGTTATTTTGTGAAGTATATAATTTAAATGTTCAGAATAATTTTTAAATAAATACAAATTAAGTGAATTTTTTTCAAAAATGTAAAGATATTGTCAAAAATGATAAAAAAAGAAATTCGAAAGTATCCCAAACAATCCAAAAAGGTTATATATAGTGTTTTGGAAAACAACAGTATATGTTATACATACTTACGTAGTATATATTTTTTCAATATAATGTTTATCTAAAACTCACTACGAATTGAAAACAAAGAATATGACTATAGGAAAAAAGTATTAGCTAACTTTGAGCTACAGTAAAAAACGTTGAACTGATAATTCATAAACGCCAAAATAAGAAATTTCGATAAAAACTTTTTAAAAGTTTGAAAATCGACCTGAAATAATCTAAGTAATGATATAATTGTAAAAAAGTAGAATTTATATAATTATTGACTTTAAAAAACAGAGCTTTCAATTTAATTAGTAAGTATTTACTAAATGTTTGAAATTTTAAGATTATATAATAAGATTCTTAATAACACGTACTCATAGATTTTAGGTTATTTGTCGCTTAGGTGGAATTTTGAATATTTTGAAGTTTTATAATACGGAGTATTGTAAAGTCTTTTTAAAAAATCAAAGTTTTTAGACTTTTTTTGAACTTTTTGAAAGTTTCGCATCTCAGAATATGTGTGGTTCGTTTTATATATTTGTTGAAGTATTTCTAGCGTCAAAGGATGAAATTACGGGCATTTCTCCCAAAAGAGTTTAATTTCAACATGTAAGTAATTATTATGTAACATTTCTTAGTTTATCCGCGCATAATTTATGTGTAATTCATGCAAATGTATCCATAATATTTTCGTTTACCAATTTTTCAAAAAAATTATTAAAAATCACACATTTTAAAAAAATGTATAATACATGTACCATACGATACGTACGTATTGATACGTATTTTATACAAAGAATACACGAGGGTGACCCTATAACCATTGAGGAGACTACATAGGTGATGGAGTGTAATCCAACTATGAGAGCTAATCTACGAGGGCATCAGATGATATTTAGGCAACGTAAGGCAGTATTATTATTCCGGAATTTGGATCCTTGGTAGGATATGTACAAGAAGTATTTATAGACCTTAAATTCTAGTATTCTAGGAGGAAACAGATACATTTACTGCAATTAATTACAATAGAGTCATGTAACATCTCAAATGATGTGCAATCATGGTTTCCTTGAGGTCCACACATTCCTTCCGTTACTTTCTTCCGCTGCCAGATAGCTATGCATGAATGATAGTCTGCCACATAAGTCCTAGGAAGAGTCCGACCTCGCTAGAACTCTGCCCAAGCTCGAGGTCTGTTGTCCAGCCCGACCTGATTGTGGGTTCCTTTCGTGGGTTGGATTCCTAATTAGGCACAACGGCTATTATTTGTCATTAATCCCAATTAATGGGCTGATCCTGTTGATGGGCTTTGCTTTAATTCAATTTTGGGTCATGGTTGTGATCCATGGTACCACCAACCGGAGTCATGGTAGGCAGTGTGTGGGGAATTGCAAAAATAGGTCGAGTTAATTGAGAATAAAAAATGGAAGTTTTAGGGGTGGTGTCACGAAAGAAAGTCAAAAAATTTCATACTCTTCTCTTAGTCACTATTAGGTTGGAGGCCTAAGAGTAGGCCTGTCAATGGGTCGGGTCCGGGTCGGAACGTAGTGTTCCAGATCCGGACACGCTAAGTTAATAATGGATCCAGACCCGACCCGTTTACCCGGTAGGTCTGAAAATTTGGACCCGGACCCAGACCCAGCGGGTCTCGGAATCGGGTCGGGTAAACCCGTCCGCCAAGTATGATACGCACACCATTAAAAACTTTGTGAAAATAACACGACATGTTTGTGAAATATAAAGCAAAGTGTACAAATTTAAAACCAAAATATATCTTCACTTTTCAAAAACAATCAAGGTCTCTCATAGAAAATTAGTATTTTTATCTAATAAAGTATTGGTTCTTGTACATGCATATAGCTTCACACTCTGCGTCGCTTTCTTTCGCACAAAAAGCTCGTATAATAAACTAGAAATTAAGTCATAAAAAGGTCTCTTGGACTACTAAGAGTATAAAATCATATGCAGTATTATATATGATAATGATATAATAATATTAATAAAAATAGTAATAAATATTGTGTTTTTCCTACCGAGCCCAATACACACTTTATTAGTATGTATTTACGGCCAAAATTTGCATTAGTTTTAGGGTATCTTACTATCTCGATCAGTATCACTTATATTGTAGTTATGTATTAATGTGTATATTTTTATTGAAGAATCACAACTAATAACTTTATGTATTATTTGTATATATGTATATTAGTTTCTATTTAATTTAAAGTGTTATAACTAATCACTTTAGGTATTAGTGTCTGTATATACAAATAAGAAATTCTAAACGGGTCCGTGTCCTTAACGGGTCAGAATCATATGTACCATACTCGACCCATTTATTTAAAATACTAACGGGTCCGGATCCGAGTCCGTGTAAACGAAATAAAATATAGACCCATACCCATTAAAAACAACCGAGTCCGGGTCGGGTCCAAGTCTAGACCCGACCCATTGACAGGCCTACCTAAGAGGAACACAAAGAATTTACCCTTTGATGTTTCCTCATGAAGCTCCTCACATGGAGTGTATGTGGTCTCGCTTCTTCATGTCCGAGGTTGTGTGAACTAGTTAGGCACCATTCGATTAATTTTCTCACAATTATAGAACATATTTCAAGCCCAGGAGTATATTGGTAAATACTTTTAACTCAACATTATTTCGGTAAATACTTAATTAAATCGCATTAATTCGGGAAAAAACTCAAAAATAAATAATTGTTTTAGTCATTTTTTATTTATTTTCACTAAAATTCCATACTATCCCTTTTCCAATTTGTTTTTCATAGTTGTGTTACCAATTTATGGTTTTGTATTATTTTTCTTTATTCAAATTTACATTTTCTATTTTCAAACAATAAATTGTGATTAAAATTTCAGAAATGCGAGGGTGCACAAGTTGTACACAACTTGTACACAAAATGTCGGTCACAAAAAATTGGTACATAGTTGCCTGTGAGAACACACAAGAGCTGTATGTATGATAAATATTGTCTGTGCACACAGACAAATAATTGTATGTGCAACCGAAATATATTGTTTGTACACACAGGCACTGCATAGGTATAGATTGATTTGCAAGTTGATGTCAGTGTCAGACGACTATCACTGTACTTTTGTCTATGGCACTGCACAGGCTTTTATACCATGTACACTTTGTGTACAAGTCATGTACACAAAGCATTTTTGTTAAAAATTTTATAAATTAGATCTTTGTTCTAGCTTAACCTAAAAATCTAAATTTTTTATTTATTCCATTTTAGTGTTTTTAATTTCTACCAATGTAAACATGTGAATAGCTTGAAATGACGATAGAAAAATGTTTACCAGAAGTCCACATTTTTTCTACCAAAATAGTTGGGATTATTACAACCATTGTTATACTCCCTCAGTCCCAAATTGTAAGATACATTTACTATTCACTTGGTCAACATAAATCACTCTTAATCTTTTACTTTATATATCAAAAGTTTATAAAATTTGAATTACTTTTTGCAGGTTTTGTAGCGGTTTGAATGTAGTTTCTAAATATGTAAATTTTATTTTCTAAAACTAATTTGAGTGTTGACAGAGATCAATTTGCTTTATCGTCGGTCAAACATCGTAAACCGTAAAGTATCATACAAATTGGGACGGAGGGAGTACATTTTTTCGACATTTTTTTACAAATTTCATTATATCACTTAAAATTATAATATTAAAACATTTTCATTAAAAATAGTTCAAAACCTCCAAAACCTCTACCCCAAATCACTAAAATTAAACGATAAACTACTAACGATAACAATACTTCACTAAAATTTTCATTAAACTATTATTATAGTGTATAGAATATAATAATATAAAATAAAGAAAACAGAAAGAAAATATAAATACTAAAATGGAAAAAATAGAAAATTTAGATTTTTAGAATTAAGATAGCATAAAAAAATAAATAAAATTTTAATCATTTTTACTTTTTGAAAACAAGAAATATAAATTTGAATAAAGGAAACTAATACAAAATCATAAATTGTAACACAACTAGGAAAAATTTTAGTGAAAACAAATTGAAAAATGACTAAGAATATTTTATTTAACTTTGGTACATTTGAATAATTTTCGTAGTTGTTTACACATGTTTAAAAATATTTAATTTGAAAACTTATAAAAATATTTCTATATATTCAGAAAATTGAGAGTTGATAGTTCGAATTAATAAAAAATAGTCACCTATATTTGAGATTATTTAAACCGTACACATAGTTCACCTTTAAAATTAACTTGCTAGATCAAGTTGTAACTAATTTGAGATTGTTTATGGAATATAGTCTCTATAGTTGGGAACACCCAAGAATAATCGACAGTTCAAATTATTAACGGCGGATCGACAATAATTGAGATTATTATTTTCAATTTTTCCTTATTATTATTATGGTAATTATTATTATTATTATTATTTACTACATCCGTCTCTTAAAACTTCGTCAACTTTTCTCTTTTTGATGTCCCAATGACTTTGTCACTTTCTCATTTAAATAAAGAATTTGTGGTTCTAGTTAATTATCTTTCCTCCGCACAAACCTTAACCACATAGTTTTTGTTTTATTAATCCTCGTGCCGGTCAAATTTGATAAAGTTTTTAGGGAGAAAGGAGTATTAAAAGCAGGGACTCGAGGGAGTCTGATTATTGATCGAGATAAAAGTGAACATCTTCAAGTCTTCAACCATGATAACAATTTATTGTTCTTTCGTGATACAGGGATTAATAGAAATTGTTATAATCTGGACTGTTCATGGTTGGGCTCTGCCACTGAGGAAGGCGGGCGTATCAAAGAGCTACTACGAAAAGAAAAATGCATTTTCTCTTGTTGTATTCCAAACGAAATTCGAAGCCTCCTTCCTTCCTAGTCCTAGCTATTTAAGGGAGGGAAAACCCCAACCTGAGTTGAAGCCAGCTTTCGGTCATGAACCTTCGTTCTCGCTTAAAAAACTGATTGGCTGTCCACCACCACTTAATTGCTTCCTGCAATAAACAGGTCCATAGTACTCTTTCTTATTTCAGTAGTAACAAAGAAAGTCACAAACTGATCAAGGAGCTACAAACAGTTGAGATATCGCTGATTCCCTTTTTTAGGCTCCATAATTGTCCCATTTTTACATTTTGTGATGTCCCTCTATTATTGTCTCATACTTCATATCATATTTGGTAACATTTGAGTGATTCTAACTCATTATCGATACGGGTATAAAGTTAGAATATGAAATGCCGAATTTCTTTCGAACACTCGTCACCTACACACCCAAGTAGCCAATACTTGTACTCCGTATTTAGTTTATCTTATGTTGGCAAGGAAGTTAATTGTTTTTCCACTGACACAAAAATTTTCACGAGACCATTACGTATTACAGCTAGTTCATATGGTCATGTTCCATCGCAAAACCAGTACAGTAAGGTCATGGAAAATGACCAAATGTTTAGCTTCTTCATTCATTCAGCGTGCATGCACTACCTATCTTATGTCACTCACTAGATAACTGCTGGTCTGGATGGAGGCGACAACTTTGGAGATCTTAGTCTATGTATTAGTATGCATTTCAAATTCTATTAAAATTAAAATATTAACTTAATATGTGATCGTATAATTTCAATCACCTTTTAAATACTCAGCAGTCCGTACATTATTAGATTCATTCATGGTGGTTGATACCCTGCATCCGAACAGACCTAAATGGCGGCTAAGTATCACAAAAACAAATGATATCAGATGCGAATGCAACATACCTCCGTAACACAAGCGTTTCATCATATAGTGCCTTCTCTAATCTCTCCTCAAAAGGCGTTGAATGCCAAGTAATTTTCTGATCCTGCAACATCAGCCGATTCCAGATATTAATTTTTTAGATAGGTAATACTAATCCAAAACAAAGAAGCAAGTCAAACCTCGTTGTACTTGGTAGTCGTATTTGGAATTCCATTTCTGCCCCGCCATTCAGGTGAGACGTTTGAAGCGTCATTATCATACCAGTGAGCAGAAACCATCCCAAGTATAGGCCTGCCATCGCCTGGAGTTCCGCTAACACCAACAATTCCACCTGAATGTAAATGGTTATTATCCTCTTGGTTAAAAGGTGGTTTCCACCAAGAAGGCTGACTTGTTTCCAACTTCAATTCCTTCTTTGATGTGGTGATTTCTCTGTCAATCCCTGAGTTTAAGGTTTTTTCCATTGAAGTAGAGCCTTGAATGGAAGTAGACCCATTATCCACCAATTCCTTCATTTGAGATTCTTTATCTGCCAGGTTTATGGTAGAAACCACATATTGGTACCTGACATTAGAAACTTTTCCATTTGCCACACCTTTAGCCTGTGCTGGGAAAATAGTGCCAGGAGTTTGCATGTCATCTGTCAGTTTCAAGGGGGTAGGGAAGGGTGAAAAATGGGATTTCAGGCGGCCAAATTTGGATGAAAATGTCTTTTCCGTAAATGAAGGATACGAGTCAGCCTCGAAGCGAACAGATTTATTGATGCGTGCTGAACTAGGAAGAGTTGCAGGTGAAACTAATGGATTTATATTACCATCAGTTTGATTGGCATTAATCTCTATGCTCTTCTCTCCATCATTCATACAGCTACTGCAGTAACATAAAAATACATATTCAGATTCGTTTTGCAGTGTCTAATAGCAAACATAAAGACTCAGTTTTGAAATATAAATGGTGAACAAGGATTGGTATGTCCCACTGCTTCTGCAAATCATGAGTATAAACCATCCATTTAGTTATGGGCCACATACTCACATGAAATATTTGTGTACTTCAAATGCAATAAGACTATATGTGAAAGTGTTGATCACTATGGAGCTAGTAAAGACTACTAACTTACTGAGATCAGGATGCTACCTAATAGGAGTGAGGGCAGTAGCAGAAACTGATCCCTCTGCAAATTCATCATGAATTTTGGAAGGAGTCACGGGTTGATGAGGCTGTAAAACCAGGTTATGATTACCAAAAGGTGCGTCAGATGATGATGAATCATCACACTCCTTTGAAAATATTTTAATTTCAAAAGGGATGTCCTGTAATGCCCCACAAGCTTTGAAAAATTTTGCCTTCAGAATCAGTCAGAGTTAATAAAGAGAAGATGGCAAAAAGGCATAGCAATTAGGAATCTTACTATCTTAGTGTCCATTTATCACATAAAGTCTTGTATTAGGATACTCGGAAGCTTATTTCAGTATTGTAAAGGAGCTTTTTAATAAGATCACTCCAGTAAGCTAAATAAGTAGCTAGGCAAGAAAAAGTTGAAGACCAATTAATTAATGGTAAGCTGAGCAACGAAAGAGTAGTAATTATGGTAGAGGTAGCATTGTACTTGGAGTAGCAATTTGGAAGATATGTACCAAGGAAATATATGTATTCAGTTACTATAATTTTCACTCAAGTAAATTGAAGAGATTTGCTCATGTATGTGTGTTTACTGTCATGTTACCTGCTTTGTGCTGCATATTTAAATTACTAAGAGCCACACAGCAAACGAGTAATGAAATCATTACATTAGAACATGTGAATTACATCAACCGGCTTCCCAGAGAAGGAACCATATCATGCACAATTGGTTATCATTAAAAGGATCGGTGAAGTCAACAAATGCAACTTTTCTCTGATTGAACCACAAAAGTTTTAGGAAAATCATGAGCATTCAATGCATCATCATAGGTTACTAGTTATTTTTATTTTTTTTGGATTCGTAACTTGAAACTTTGTGATACTTTTGTTAACTGAGTATACTCATGGAGGATTTTGGGAGGGCTTTGGGAGGGGGGATGGGGGGGTTTTACAGAAAAAGGTGTTCAGCGAATATCTTGAAATATAGAATGTTTTTCAACTATAAAGTACAAACAGGAATACGGTGCAAGGTATTGATAATTTTACTATACAAGATTATATGATAAATCGGTATTTTGTGAGAAAGATCCAAACGACAGAAGTTAAGGAGACTCTGAGAAAGATGGGACGGAAGAAAGCACTAGGGCTAGATGGTATACCGATGAAGGCCTGGAGAAGTTGGGGAGAGAGAGGCATCGAGTGGTTAACACATTTCTTGAACATGATTTAGAGAAACAACAAAATGCCAATGAATTAGCGGAAGAGTACTCTTATTCCCCTATTTAAGAAAAAGGGTGATGTACAAGAATGCGTTAACTATCGAGGAATTAAGCTTATGAGTCATACCAAGAAACTTTGGGAGCGAGCGATTGACCATAGACTCTGAAGAAGTGAAAAATATTCAGAGAATCAATTCAATTATATACTTGAACGCTCGACAACTGAGGTCATTCACCTCCTTAGACAAGTTGTGGAAAAGTATAGTGACACTAAAAAGAATCTGCATTTGTTGTTCATTGACTTAGAAAAGACATTTGATAAGGTAGTTCGAGAAGTTCATTGGTGGACCTTAGCTAGAAAAGGCATATCGCAAAAATATATCAGTATCATCATGGATATGTATGAGGCTTGTACTACAAGTGTCCCTACTAGTGTAGGGAGGACTGCAGAATTCCCTATTACTATCAGAGTGCACCAAGAATTTTGATATCATGAATTGATTCATTTTAGTTGATCCGAATTGTTTTTCGGAAGAAGACTTGGATTTTATTGTTGTATAGAATGTTTTTCAAACCGAATGGAGGATGATCACATATTGTATTATTACATACTCTGTATTATATATTTATGTTATTCCTTAAATTCTTATAGAATCTCATATGTATATCATAATAAGCACTTAGTCCTCCAGAGTTCCATACCAAAACCCAACTCCCAAACTGGCTCTAAAGAACCTCAACATAGACATGTTCAAGACATAGTATCATGAGAAGACATGGGAATGAAGATATATATAATCATAATGAAGATAAAACAATGTTCAATTAGGAAGAAAATTTGTAACTCAATCCCACAGAGAAGCTTTTTGAAGTTACCAACAGAAGCAAATCGTGATAATTAACTAAACTGCATCATCAAAAGTAGCTACGCATTTTCGGGGTAAGAACCTGGTCCTTGAGCTCTGTAATATCCAGGTCATGCGCAGGAATCACTTTGTCATGTTTCACCTTTTCCATGGCCTCCACCCCATGCTGATTTTCTTTCTCTAAGTTGGCATTCAAAGGTACACGCTATCAAATCGTTAAATTTTAAAAACCAACTTGATTTCCTAAGTGCACTATTTTACTCCGATCACTCAGACATTGAAAAAGGCAGAGAGGGTTACCATCAAAGGTGAATAATGAAGAAAACTGACTCCAATTGCATGGCACCGCAGCTTCCTGATCGAACGAGCAAGAACAAGGAAAATAAAAAAGATACTCTAATACCCGCATGGTTTGCACTCCTCATCGAGAGTAGTATCAGTTGAAAACTGGATCATTTGTTTGACTACTGTAATTGATCCGGATTTTCTTGAAGAAGGCAGAGAAAAACAATATTCAGAAACAGAGAAAATGAAATGAACTTGCATGATTGGAGACGGATTGATAGTGGGATCTATCAGACGTAGGAGAATCGTCTCCACGGGCAATCCGAAAGCAGCTGAAGAAACAGTTCATCGTTGCCGAGAGCGCCGCGGCAATGAGTATCCTGATAGCCGTTAGGAGAGGTAGGCAGTTATCTCGTCCTCCGGTAACAGGCCAAAACCAGACCATAGCAAGCGAATTCGGATGTACGGGAGCAATAGAAACCCTCGCTAAACTTTTTATTTGCAGATTTGGCTAGAAGAGAATTTAGAGAGGACAGAGAGAGATCGGGAAATGGAATATTTTTTAAATTCGAACAGGATGCGAGGGAGAAAATTTTCCGCTTCTTGTTTGTTTTGGTTTCCAAGTTCCAAGTTCCAACCCATGCTTGATTAATGAGATAATGGTGAGATCACTACATGGAGTAGAGAGTACCTGATTTTGAAATTCAGCTAAAGGAGTACATATTGATGGATAGTGTACCCGGGGTAGCTTATCCTAGGGGTTATTACGGGGAACAACTAGAGAGAAGTCAGAGCAAGTAAGTAGAGAGAGAGTATATTAGAAATGTATTCAGTGTTTTCAGCGTATTTGCCTCTTGGTTACAAATGGGGAAATGTGGTGCTATTTATAGTAGCAATAAATGCCAAACAGAGACACGTGTCAAGCTTCCATTGGCCGAGGGGTCACCTCAACTGGTTGGCGCTGGCAATCGCATGTGGCCGCATTTAATGCGGCTGTTGGATGTGACGTCGTACTTGTTACGGTGATCCATACGCATGTGGAGCGGATATCATGTCGGAAAAGGTGCCCTCGGCTGTAGATGACTAGCTGAGGGCTCTGAGTACCGGGGACCCCCTTAGTGTCGAGGGCTCTAGGTGCCGAGGGCTACTGATTTTCGTCGTTTTCTCCCAGTAACTTTGTTTTCCTGTTTTGACCCTCCTGTGAGAATCATAGCCTTCGGCCAGGGGGGCGAAGGCACCTCTAGCGCGCACTGTAGGCTGCTTGGTACTCTGGGCGATGTGATTAGGGCCTGTTGTGCTTCCTGGGCCTATTGGGCCTTTATTAGAGTAGTAGGAGTCTGTGGACCGGGGGTTCCCGGGCCATATACTCCATCAGGAGTCCCTCACTCCTTTTGCCGAAAGGTACTGGAGGGAAAAGGAGTAATTGTGTGTCCTTTGTCGTTGTTCCGTTGTAGTTTGTAGAGTTGTGGGCAGTTTGCTGTTTATTTATTCTGCCGAGGGCAGTCCCTCAGTTACCCACATGTCGGGACTTGAGGGGCCATGTTTGCTATTTGCGGGAGTTTTTTAGCATTTTGCACTTTTTGTGATTTTTCCCGAGGGGGGTCTCCAGTCCCCCACTCCTTGAGGCACTTGCAAAGTGGTGAAAAGGAGTAGAGTAGTGCTTGTCTGCAATATGAAACCGAGGGGTGACGCTTTTCGTTTCATTTTGGGGGGATGCCTCGTTAAAAACCTCGTTAGGAAAAACACTGTGGGAAAAAAATCCTAGCGAGGGAAAAAGAGTGCACCGAATTCCCCCAACGATGAATCGAAAATGTGAAGCCCTAGTTCGAAATGGAGTACAATGCTGATGCCGAAGGCTATCCTTGTTCTGAGGGCGCATGTGTTGATTAGCCGGAGGCGTGCTGTTGATATCCTGGGAGGTGCCGAAGGGGAGTCCCTCAATCTGGGGATCGAGGGCGTGTTGAATGTGAGTAGTAGTTGAAGTGTTACCGGGGTGTCCCCTGTTTGTTGATTAGTTGGTGCGGAGGGTATCCGAGGGCTCCCGTTACCTGTGTGCCGTAGGCTATCCGTCAATGAGGCGTACTCCCCGGGGGCTACCCGGCCCTCAAAGTGCTGAGGGGGGATCCCCGAGGGGTGTGCCTGTTATGAAGCCGTGGGATTCTGAAGGAGTGAGCACAAACCGGGAGCGTCTTGATGAAGTGTACCCGGGGGCTCTTCTTGATGAAGTGAGCACAAACCGTCTCTGGGTAAGTGTACCCGGGGGCTCTTCTTGATGAAGTGGAGTGAAGTAAAAAGCCCGGGGGCTAATTCCTTGGTTGATGAAGGAGTGGGCTGCTAAATATAGCCGGAGGCTCCCAGAATATAGCCGTTGTGAATATAGTCGTTGGAATACCTAACGTCGAAATATAGCCGTTGGGGGGGGCTTCCACGTGGTGCGTGCTCGTTGGCTGCCCGTGGGCGGGTGTCACCGATTAAGCAACACGTCGGTTGGTAATGATGATTTTGTACCGGAGGCCCGGTATTCAGGCCCAAGCCCGGATTTGGGCGCCTATAAATACCCCATGGCCGGGCATCACTTTTCTTGTGCGATCATTTGTTAGCGAAGCTATGCCGGATTTTTTCTAGAGAGAGAAACACCTGCCCTCGATCTAATTCCCGTTCCAAGGTCAGTTCCTCACTTGTCCTCCACCCTTTTTAACTAGCTGTGCTTAGCGGCCTAGGATTCATACTTAGGATTTTTAGCTTAGAGCACTTAGTATATCCGAGCCCTCGAGCTAGCACAGACGATGTCTTCACAAAGCGACTCTCAAGATATCTCTGGGGCGCCCTCGATGCAGGAGGAAATCATCTCGGACGTGGAGTCCACAAGCGAACAGCCCTCAGTGGGACAAGATGTCGTTGTAGCGATGGAGCTGCAGAGAGCCCTCGTCGTCGAGGTGGAAGCCGAGGGCTTCGAACAAGAATGCGAGGACGAAGAGCTGGCCCTCTCCTGGCAAGTAGCTGAGGAAGAGGCGCAGAGAGAGGGCGTGAGGGTCATCGTCGCTGTTCTCCCCCCTCAGGGCACTGGTGAGGCCAGCACCTCTCGGCCGTTGAACGCGGTTCCCATCCGGGTGGCCCTCGGGAAAAAGAAGACGAAGGGTGATGCTTCCAAGAAGAAAGGCAGCGTCGCAGACCAAGGGAAGCCCCTCGATATGCCCGAGGGGTATTCCTACTTGAATACCGCCGCCTTAGAGATAAGGTCGAAAGCTGATGAGGCGGATCTCTATGTCACCCAGTTACATGTGGGTCCCTCGGCCGTAGTGGTGGCGCCGGGTCCCGATGACATCCTCTCCCGGGCTCCCGAGGGCTGCATTGCAGTGCACATCATGTCCGTATCGATGGGGCTCCGGTTCCCCCTACACCCATTCCTTCGGGAATACCTTCGGTTCGTGGGTTTGGTCCCCTGCCAACTGACGCCGAACAACCACTCATACATCGCGGGCTTCCTCCATCTCTGCAAATCTTGGGGGGTAACGCCTAGCCTGGACCTGTTCTTTCAAAGTTTCAATTTGTGCCGGGGGGCATGCAAATGCCGAGGGCTTCGCGAACTTGCAGCAGGTGGCCTTGTTCAAGCTGTTTACTGAGGCGCCCTCCTCAAACAAAGGGTGGAAAGACCGGTGGTGCTTCATAAAGTTAGTCGAGAGCCCCTTCCCGAGGGAACTGCGTGACCGGTTCAGAAGGCACGAGAAAGTGAGAAGCACCGCCCTCGAGAAGGATGGGAGAATCCTGGCCAAGATCCCAGAGGGCCGATATAAGAACATAGCCATCAAGGAGTGCACTCAAGAGGAGGACCTCTACACCCTCGGGTTCCGGCGGTATCGCTTCCTGGGGGAAACGGATGAAAAGTACCCGGCATTTGATGGAGCCTCCGGGGGTTTAGGAGGTAGCAGCTGAGAGCACCTTTATTTTCGTATTTAGCACATAGTTTGTCTTTTTTTTGTACTTTCATGCCATCTGTTAATGACCCGTCGGCCTAACCCCATATTGTGTTGCAGGTATCCCGGTCTCCAAGATGAACGTCAGAGGGCTCGCTGACCTGAAGAAGAAGAAGTCCTCCAAGGTCCCGAAGGGGACGGATGTTGGCGTCCCTAAATCCGTCGGTGACTTCTTTAAGAAGCCCGAGGGGCCGTCGACGGTCCCAAGTGCTGACGCTGCCGCCGCTGCGAAGAGAAAGGCTGCGGGAAAGGCTCCCGAGGGCAAAAGGCCAAAAACGGGAGATGTCGGGAAGAAGGATCCCCCCGTGGTCATCGTAGATGATTGCCCCGCCTCCGGGATGCCTGCGGAGATGCCGGTGGCGGAAGTGCCGAGGGGTGTCCGGGAGCCATCCTCCGAGGTTCTGATGGTTTCTCTCCCGATAGGAACAACCGTGATGAACTGCACGGTTGACCCGAGGGTACTTCTGACGGGCATGACCCCCGAGATTGACAGAGCCGCCCTCGGAGCTGATGATGACCTGGCCCTCGAGGACAAGATCCTTCTGTATTCCCTCACAGTAAGTTTTTCCCTGATTACCGTTTTACTTCGTGCTAGGATATAATGTACGGCTTTCCTAACTTCTTTATAACTTGCAGACTTGCATTGCCCTCGGTGAACAGGCCCGGAGGCTGGAGGAGTGGCGCCTGCACAAGGCTGAGCAGGACGCGAAGATGCGGGAGCTCATCTGCCAGAACTCTGATGCCATCAGGCAAATGGCTGTACTGGAGGAGAGCCTTCGGCAGATGACGCTGCGGGTGGAGGCTGCAGACCGGGGCAAGGCCGATGCTGAGAGGTCCGCAGCTGAAGCCCTCGAGAGAGCCGCCAAGGAGGCCGAGGCCGCCAAGGCGGATGCCGTCGCAAAGGCCCGAGAGGACGCCGTCTCCGGATTTTTGGCAGGGGGTGGAGAGCCGAGGAGCACAAACAGTGGATGTCCTCGGTCGTGGAGTCCTCCGTCGATGAATGGTGCGACGGGCCCGGTGTGGAGTGGGTTTCCCGAAAGGGCAAACAGTACTACGATGGGGGTGAGTTTTTTACTCAAGCCCTCATCTACCGGAGGATGGCCCGTCATTTGAAGATCGATCAGAAAGACTTTGACCCGGCGGCATACGGCCTTCCTCCCCTGCAGCCAGATGTCCGTGTTCCTCTCCCCTCAGATGTCGAAAGGCCCGACCTGGAAGATACTGAGCTGATGAAGGAGGCCGAGGGGGGCGATGCAGAGGCCGGCATAGAGGTCTCCTCAAAGCCTGCGGAAGAGACTGCCCCCGGGGCTGATAGTAGTTGATTTGTATTTAGCACATTTTGATCAATCGTGTTGTAATGAATATTTGTATGCCCTTGGCCTCGGCCCCTTTGTAATATATACTTTAATTTCTCCTTCTTTTTGATGAATGAATACCTGCCTTCGGGCTTTTGCATATAACTCGTTTGATTGTTTCTCTTTGAATGTATGCCCTTGTCTTTTTCTAAATGTGTGCCTTCGCCTTTCCTGAATGTATGCCCTTGTCTTTCTTCGAATGTATGTTAGGACTTAGAATATATTCCTCTAAGCATAGTGCCTTTTGTAGCCCTCGCCCACTAGGCCTATTTAGTCATCTGGACATTTCACCGAGGGCACAATGTTCAGGACATAGAAATATTTCTAAGTGTTT